TAATAAATAATTCTATTAAAGATGTTTTAATAAATTTATAAAGGGAATTTCACTTTTAATATGTAATTCATATTGTAATGAATCCCAAAAAATAAAAAGAAAGTAAGAACAATAAAGTGACAAGAAGTGGGAGCCAAAACTTAGAGAAAGAGAACTATATGTGGTGAAAAATTATTTCTTCCAGAAAGTAGCAACGTTAATGTTGGACCCTTTATAAAGAAGGCCAAAATAACTCGAGTGCTTTACTCCTTTCTATTCATCCTTTTCCTGTAATTGCTTGCAAGTTTCTTTCTTTACATTTGCTTGATCACATTTGTTAAGTAAATGTGGAAATTGATACATATATATGTCAATATATAATATAAGAGTAAAAGAATTTTAAAGTAAGAACCAATTTCTAAATGATTTAAGTCCATAAATGAAATAAATAGTTATAGAAATTTCGAACTAAAAAAGTAATATGAAAAGATCTACATTTAATGGATAGATAAAAACCTCTTTTTTAAATTCTTTGTAATTACTTATAATTTATCAATTACATTTTTATAAAAAAAAAAAAATGCTTACAATTGAGTGTTAAGCTCATCACAATCAATTCAATTTCTTCCTCACTTCTACTCAATTTCATAAGTGGGGAATTGGATTTTTGGATGGTTATCGTCTTGGGGATATAACTGTAATTGTCATGTTGGGAAGGGTAAGTCTCCATTTCCACAGATGAAGGGACATTATAAGCATCACAGAATCACCTCAATTTCACCTCTTTCACCTCAATTTCACCTCTTTAGGGTTCCTCTTCTATTATGAATCCCAACTCCTACGTTCCATCGGCAGCAAATCCATCTATTATGAATATCACCAGAGGGCTGTGGATTACAAAATCTCAATCTACATGGAAATCAAATGAATGGCTTATTACCAAGGTCTTTGGTGAATTGTCACATGTTAGAGGTTCTAGACGTTGGCAACAACAACATAAGTGATACATTCCCTCATTGGTTGGAATCTCTACCACAACTTCAAGTGCTTGTCTTAAGGTCCAACAAGTTCCACGGTTTTGTGCAGAGCACCAAAGAAAGTCCATCTTTTCCCAAGTTGCGAGTTCTGGACCTCTCCAGCAATTATTTTGTTGGTGCTTTGCCTGTTTGGTACATTGAAAATTTTAATGCGATGATGGACCCTCATAGAGACGGTGGTTCCCCTGAATACATGAAGGTGTCGACGGGAGCCAATTCTTATCAATATTCACTGGTTGTGACATGGAAGGGATTCGACTATGAGCTGCATGGAATCTTGACCATATTCAGCAGTATTCATCTCTCAAATAACAAGTTTGAGGGAGAAATTCCAGATGTTATTGGAAAGCTTAGTTCTCTCAAAGGGCTTAATCTTTCTCATAACAACCTTACTGGTCAGATCCCACCGTCACTAGGGAATTTGACGAATCTGGAATGGTTGGATCTCTCTTCCAACAAGCTGGCGGGGAAAATTCCTGATGAATTGGTATATTTGACACAACTCTCTGTATTGAATCTTTCAAATAATCATCTTGTCGGCCTCATACCACAGGGCAGTCAGTTCAACACCTTTGGAAATGATTCTTATAAAGGAAACCCTGGACTGTGTGGAATTCCATTATCAAAATCTTGTGATGGAAATGGGACACAGCCGAGCTCCTTCCAAGAAAAAGATGAGTTGTGGAGATTTGGCTGGAGAGTTGTAGTGTTAGGCTATGGATGTGGAGTTGTTTTTGGACTGCTGATGGGATATCTTGTCTTCCGAACAGGGAAACCAAAATGGTTTGTGTCTTTGTTTGATGGGCGACAAAGTCAAAGTGGAAGGAAGATGAGGAAAGCCAGAAGACTTGTTCAAAGAAGAAGCTAGTTGCAGCAGAGTTGATGTTTTGGAGCTTCTGATTTAATGTTTACTGAATAAGTGCTTTTCGGGTTTGAAGTTCTTGTTATGGCTGGCATTGGCTTGTCTAAAATTGTCTGCCTTCTCTTGTCTTTATTATGCTTTGTAATTTTATCTTTCTTTATTGTAAAATATATTTGAAGGTTTAAGCTGTTAATCTTTCTTAGTTGTCCAATTAATCTACTTCGTTTAGCAGACTCATAAAAATTCTTGTTTGGATTTTGATGGAATTTGGATTTTTTGGATGGTTATGGTCTTGGGGATATAACTGTAATTGTCATGTTGGGAAGGGTAAGTCTTATGATTTGGGCTTCGGTCTCTCTCGCACTCGCAACATCTTCCTTCACAACATAAAGAATCTAATGGAAGTAGCTTCCATTTCACCTCTTCTATTATGAATCCCAACTCCTGCGTTCCATCTGCAGCAAATCCATCAATACCCATCCTATTCTCCCTCAACCTCTGTTTTTACCTCGTCACCTAGCATGCTCAATTCCAACGGGAAGAAGGAATAGGATTGGGAAAGCCAATACAGTTTTGGGTTTTTTTCTTTTTCTTTTTTTTCTGAATTTTTATTATTTTCCTTCAGCTATAACTATTGTGGGGGCTTGAGGCACCTAAATCCGCTGTTATCAATCGACCCTCCATTTCCGGATCCAAGTGTTTGGGTTTCGTGCAACACAATTGAAATTTGAAATGCT